CTAGCGGCTTTCGCCATCCTCTTCCTTCTCCCCCGCATGGCATCACGTGTTATACAACTACTGCTCACCATGAAGTCCGAGGATGAAAAGCGTTAGATTACAACAGATGGAACCTCCACCAATTTAGTCACGGCATCTCTCACACCAGCTGGCGAAAGAGCGCGCCATGCATGCTCCTCTCCGAATCGAAGAAACAGACAAACATCTCTTGGCTTTGCAGTTGCAGGTCCAGCTTGTGTCTTGACCTGTACTGCTGGGTTTGGGGCAACTCGAACAGTCTTCGCTGGAGTAATTGACATTTGGGGAGAGCCCCGGGCAACTGTTGCCCAGGTTGTTTTGGCCTGGTTCACTTGGCGTTGTGGCTCCTGACTGTTCACCGGAGTTCTTTCTTTGGCCTTGGTTATAGGACAACTCATGTTTTCCTGGCAGCTTGGGCGCTGTGGAAGGATTGGGGGGGCCGCACTGGGTCCCGACTTCATGAATTGAGCAATGGCTGCTCGAAGATATATTTTCATCGAGTCAATGAACAGATTGCTCGACTCTTCTGAGTATAGGGAGACCGCGGTCTCGACAGCACTAATCGCAGCAGTGCAGATCATTATATTTTTTGCTGCTTGAGCTGCCCTGCGCTCTTCAGCTTCAATCATGGCTTGATTAGCCTTATTCACCTCTGGAATTGCTGCCTTCTTGACAGCAGGAGCAGCAATCTTCTTTGATATTGAAATGACGGAGGTCACAGGGACCACATCATCATTTTTCTGAGCAAAATTCCATCTGGATTTGTCGAGACCCTTGATTATGTATTGGTTGATGACCATATTGCCCATTTCCACGTCTGGGTTTGTTGAGTCTGAGTCTTCCTGGAAGACTCTCAATCTTTCGGTCATCTCTGACTCCATCTTGTCTTGATCTAATGTATCGATCGATAGATTTCTTGCATCTAGGCGGTGTTGCAACCTGATTTTAATTTTCGCCATGGCTTTGTGCTGGCGCGCGGGGCGAGTGATTTTCGTAGGACCCGTCGCCATTTCGGAGACTCAGGGTCTTGCGACTATGATAATGATGAAATTAGCTTGTGAAACTATGAATTGAAGGGTTGAGGGGATGGGTAGGTGAATTTTTCATCAATTTCAAAAAAAATTGGCTGTTTTTGTTTTGTTTATTTTGTCCTGAGCTAAAGCTATGCTTTCCACATTGGGTCAAGGACAGGCGGAGCCGGCAGGGTTCCCTGTAATCTTTTCTACAGCCTGACTCGTTCCAACCTCGTGAATTGCTACCAAAAGTGCAGCTGATTAAACAGAAACGAAAAATCAAGAAAATCAAAAACAACTCCAAAAAAACCAGGAGATTCCTCCATGTTGGACCCAGTCAATGTGCTCCTCACACATTCTCTTGTCTGTCACACCTTCCAAATGACAATTTTACTTCATCTCCGCTGAGAGCAGTAGATGAGTTAGCAGGCACCTTTGATCCAGCCGGTATCCTGCTAATTGTTAGTGGATGCCCCAGAAGGGGACATTATCGAGGTTGCTGTGTCCTCAAAACTTCTTCTTCAGATCCCAGCACTCCGAAACCTGTTGCCTCGGCCATTGTGATATCCTTTGCCGCGGCGACGATCGCCTCTTCAGCCTTTTTGGCTGCAGCCCTAGCTCGAGCCGCCTCCGCGAACTTCCCTTGCTCGAGGTGGCGTATCCATGCGAGCTGCTCTTTGGTCACTGGTCCGGATTTTTTGGGTCTGACCTGACAGGCCCGAGAATCCAATTGGTGGGGTCCCCCACAGTTGCGACACTTAGTGAGGGCCTTGCACTCGGCTTCCGAGTGCATGTTAGATCCACAGTTCCAGCAGGCTGGAGCGCGGGAGCAGCAACGGGTGGCGTGGAAGCCCAAACAGCGTTTACACTGTTCAATTTGGCGATGAGGCTTGTGAATGGTAGCCCTACCAGACTCGTCGAAAAGGCGGAAGCCCGCACGAGGGGCGTTGTCCCGCGTGAAAAGGGCATGCCAGTTCTGATACGGTGCCCCAGGTCGACATGTCCCATGAGGTCGGACCTGGATTGGTCTCACGCCGGTCATAACAGCGATCTTGTCGAAGACCCACTCAGAATCAACTGCCATAGGGCCTTGCTCTGTGATTATACTTACAGGTACGTTGGGTATCTGTAAGGCTACAAGATCTGAAGATGCCTCGAGTTTGGCGTTTTCACTAGCCAGCTTCGAAGAGTCATCTAGCATCTCTTGTCGTGTTTTTTCGTCCTTTGCTAGCATAGCAAAGCCGGTCCTCACTCGATGAAGCGAGGTTATTTCATTGTGAAAGAAAAGGAATCTCATCTCCAATTTACTTCTCACACAACTTGTGGACAGTTTTCGCCACGGGTGGTCCTTTTCAAGGCGAAAGAACAGTCGCTTGTCGACTTTCGCCTTGGGGGTTTCTTTTTGGTGGGCTTTTGCCGCAGGTTGTGGCACAGCCTTTGCAGTTGGGACTGCTTTCTGTCGCAGTCCGTTCCTGGCCACCGTGGCCCAGGTGCTTTTGACAGGCAGAACTGGGACGGCGGGAGTTGTGTTACTCCTAGCTTCGGGAGCCCTTGAGGTTGGGTTCGCCGGGCGAGGAGGAAGAACGGGTGGCATAGTGGCCGGGCCCGTGGCCATGTATTGCGCAATGGCGGCGCGTAGGTAGACTCTCATCGAGTCTACGAATTGTTTATTTGACCCGTTGGTCAAAGGGAGGAGGGTGGCTTCGACGCCAGAGATGGCGGCGGAGCAGAGGGCCAGATTTGCCGCTATTTCGGCGGCGCGTCGTTGTTCAGCTTCGACTGTTGGTCGGAGCTCGAGGGGACACCCTGCTTTCGTGGTAGCTTTTGGCTGCGACGTTGATGTTGACGCTGCTATGGGTGCAGCGTTTTCCGACGGTTTTGACACGGTCGGAGGTGGTTTGGATGATTCTCCAATCCCGTGGGGGACGGAAGGTGGTTGAGGAATTTCCTCAACAATTTCGACTGACCCGATCATGTCAGTATCGGGCTCAGTGATGGCGGGGAGGGCTTTTTCCTTCCCTTTGATGGAGACCTTGCTCATCTCCGTGCATTTCGGAGACTGGGCAAGGCCAGATACTTGCTCGAGAGCCCTCGGGTGGACTCTCGTGTTGTCCCATTTGGCGTTGGGACGCTTTTTTCGAACAGGTGGCATGGTGAAAATGCCAGTGACTCGATCACAATTTTTTGATAGAATGCGACGAGCGCGAGAGGGAGGGAGACGGGAAAAAGGTGAAGATTCGAAAATTCGAATTTCAAAAAATTGTGTGTGTTGTGCGCAGGCACGACATTAATATAAATAAATAAATATAGGGTTCATTAGTCAACATTTACAACGTAATACCGTGTTCCACATGTCTTTATTCAGAAGTACTTGAAAGACAATAAGTCAATAGGAATTAATACCTTCTTCCTTAGGTGACCATTTACCACGTACTCTCCCATATTTTATATACTCTGTGTAGACTAGTCTTAACTCCCTCCATTGGCCCCTGAGAATCATCCTTTCTCCCGGCACAACTCTTCTCCTGTGCCATACTCCCCATCTGGTGCGTATCCCCTTTGATATCCCCTTAGCGCCCCTTTCTTCTATCCAGGAGCGTTGCCCTGCCACTAACTTACCTTGGAGACGGAGTGTTCCTAGTGACCAGTCCCAATCCGAGCAAAGCCGTCGCTCCATCTTATATCACTACTGTGGGATAGGAGGACGAAGGCTGAACACCTGTCAGTGATGTCCTCTGCAAACCTGGGAGTGAAATATTCACTCAGAGCCGAGATTCAGTCACGACAAAGGGTGGGATGAAATTTTTTTGATAGATTTTCGACTTGAAGGAGTTGTACTCGATATTTTGGTCGATAAATCAGTCGGCAGAGATTTCACAGCCGAAACAAAGTTGAACAAAAACTCATCACCATTAACATACGATTTACGAATGGATTTAGGTCTGTCTGGGGGTCGTATTCAAACATCCGACATCTCTTAAACTCCTTATATATTTGCGACGAAGCATTTCTCAGTCGATCCTACACCTGCGACCCACCGCCATACTCGTCACCTCACCTACCTACGCACGCCCTAATAAGGAAAGTCATGATGGAAACAGGACGCATACAAAGGAGGATCAAAAGGAAAGATACACCGAGGGGATTACACAAATCCCCAATGACAAAAACAACCCAACGTTACGATATGAAGGTGCAAGGCTAGAGCAACAATGAGATCTTGGACGGCATTTATATTTCGGAGTCAATGAGGATGTCAAGGGCTCGGGCGCGTGGTGGCCGAGGCTCAGAAGAAATCTGCGCTACGGCGTTTATACAGCAAGTTTCTGGACGGTTAGGCTTGGTATGATTCAAGACATAGGTGAAGTCTGAGATGGTCCGGTCATTAGAGTGGGACGAGGTTTATCTGTACTTTACGGTAGTTAACCTGATCCGGCCCGATCCCACTCGTGCATAAGCTCCAATAGGAGCGCAACGGTAGTCATGTAACCTAGCACGTTAATGAACAATCCAAAATAAAACTACTGTGGGATAGTAATTCACTACTGATTCATCTACGCCTTATATTTGCTGTGCAGTGTCTATTATCAAGTTATACAAGAGATCAGAGTACGTATATCTTAATAGATTTCATCACAAGAAGGAAAGTAAAGTGATCAGAAAACTCATATAAACAAGGAAAGCAAGCGATTCAAATTGTGAAGTCTGATCAATACTATTAAAAATGATTTAGGAAACTGCTATATTAAAGTAGGATTATATAAAAATACGTGATAAATCAGAAAGAGACAGGTATTATTTCGATTGAAGATCAAGCTCTCTTCCTCCAAAATTTCTGTCCCTAACCATGTTTTTTCCTTTACCTTCCGACCCCATGCTTTGTATCACCTACATTAGAGGAATGTATTTTCTCGTTTCAACCTAGTAGCCTGATATAGAATTAATATCTCCATCTGCTATATAAATTTCCTAGACACCATCAGAATCAAGGCTCAAAGCATGAGATGAGGCTTCGGCATTATTTTGCCACTTCTGGACATCTTGCTTCATCGCTTCTAGCTCATTTTGAAAACGTTTTCCAAACACATCAATGTAGTACGTAGCGCCATTATAGATAGACCAACAAAATACTGCCATGAGAAACAGTGCTGATGCATGACGATACCAGAACCATATTGGACAGGGAAGCATAGTGAGTAGCGCGTAGAAATACTGGATGCCCATAAATGTGGGCTCCTGTAGGGACTCAGGAAGAGAAAGGACTATTTTTCCAATCCATGTTCTTGAGTAAGATTTGCGTAGCCATGTGAATGATGTAGGTCTACCCGCGGCAATTTTTTCGCGACGACGAATTGTAATTAAAAAATGATATGATAGTTGCCATATAGCATAGGGAACAGTTGACCAGATAGTCATATCAAGGAGAGAATAATGCTCTGGGGATCCAGGAGGTGAGTTTTTGATTGTCCAAGCTGCATTGAATCGAAGTTGTTGCTCGGTGTCAGATATTAGATGTACAAGACAATGTAGGGTAACACATGGCATGATATGAACAAATAGACTAGTGACTTTATCAAAGCTATGAAATACTAATGAGTTTCTCCACATAGCTATAGCAATGGCATTATTGCCAAAAGCAAGGCAATAGGTACTGATGAAAAGGCGCTTCGAATTTGGAAATACCCAGATAGCCATCATGCACATGAAGTTGACAAAGTAACATAAATCTGCTAAAAAGTAATGATAACCCTGTTTGCGATAGAGGTAGAATCTGATTGGAACGAAGTAGAAGAGTTGGAGAGTATACCAAATATGGAAAAAGTTGGGTGATGCTCCGATTAAGTATCCACTGATAAGAACATTAAGGACACCACATATGAATGAAATTTTTTCACGGAACGTAATGGCTGTGTTATCGTTCCAGTGGCTTCCGAGCGTATCCATATTTTCTCGCATAAGCTTTAGGTACCTCTCCAGTTGCTCATCTGCAGATGGTACACGCTTTTTCCATTCTTCCACGACTCGCTCTTTAGCATATGACCCTCTAGACTTTAGAACATCTCTCTGCCTTTTCACCTTCTCTTTCTGGACGGAAAGGTTACGTTGGATCCTCCCTAGCTGCTGAGGTAGGGCAAAATTACCTAAAATATCGAAGAGAGTCAGTTTATCCATAGTTGAGCAAGATTCCCAGTCTTCTTGGCATGAAGTTTTTGCTGAGAATGACGATTGTCTAGAAACTGATGGGTTTCTCAATGTCGAGTGAGAGGCTGTAATTTTCTTTTTTTGTTTTGTTGGAGAAGAACTCATATCTGAGTTATACGTGGCAATATTACAGTTATCGATAGATAGTGTATCATCTTCTGTTGGAGGAGATGTCCTGGAGCTTGATTTAGAGATACGTTGCGCCATTTATAAACTGGCTAGTTAAGCAACCATTCCAAAGTTTTGCTGTAGATGTGTATCTCTTTCGAGAAGTAGATACAGTTCAATACTTGTTGAGGTGAAATGTTTAATGAGAGTTTTTAAAAAAAAGGAGCAATCAACAGACAAATGACCGCTGTAAAATCTTCTGGTTCTCAGTTCCGATAGTTCGAGTGATAGAAGTTACGATAGGTACATAACATACGTCGACACCTATTTTGACTTTTTGTTCGAAAAAGAAGTTCTGGCGGAGAGTACTTTAGGGTTTGCTCTGAAAATGTGAGCTAAAGTGTAATCAAAGCTAATGCTCGTGTTGAACGTAAACGAACAATTATCACAAACTTGCATGGAAAAAGATTACTGTAGATATATTGGGAATCTTAACAATATTTTCAAGTCAATGTGAACTAGAGATTTAAGTTAATTTGTTCATATCTTCAGTCGGGTAGATAACAAGCCCGCTTTTACGACATGTGGATGTCTTTAAGCGTTTGACCCATATCGTGTTTCTCTAATGACTTCCTAGACGCGATCCGCGTAAACTCGTCGTACGCGTGCTTAGGATCTTTCAGTTTTAACCTAAACTAATACTTTCTCTCCGATTTCTTCCGGAATACTCCAGTCTTCCATAGATGAGGATAATATATTTCAAAAATCTAGAAACGAAATCATTGATATTGCTACAATCCGGAATTATATCCTGCAGATCTGAGTACCAGTGACGCTACAATCTAGGATGGGCAAACTTATACGTCTTGAGCTATTCAGTATTCTAATAACCTTCACCATTTTTATGAATATAGCTGATCTTTTGCCAGACTTCAAGTCTTACAAGGGACACCACACTCTTCTCTTCGGTGACTCATACTTCACTTCTATCATTGGACCAAATGGCTCCGGTAAATCAAATTCGTAAGGGAATCCACCATCAAGTTTCTGGTTATCACAAGCTGATAGGTATTAGAATGGATGCCATATCGTTTGTGCTAGGTATAAAATCGTCACATCTTCGCTCGGCGCATCTCCGAGATCTTGTTTATCGGGGCAGAGTACTCAAGACTTCTAAGATCACATCACCAGATCAAGAGCTAGAGACATCTGAGAAGGTTCGAAATTCTGTTTCAGATGAGGATGGAGAGCTCCGGAAAGATGCCATTAACGATCCAAAAAGTGCATGGGTAATGGCGGTCTATGAGGATGATGCAGGTGACGAGCAAAAATGGAAACGCTCAATAACTTACCAGGGCATAAGTGAATATCGTATAAATGATCGTGTGGTCACTGCTTCCCAGTACAATGAAGCACTAGAATCTGAGAATATTTTAATCAAAGCACGAAACTTTCTTGTATTTCAGGGAGATGTTGAAGCCATTGCTTCACAGTCGCCGAAGGATCTCACTAAACTGATAGAACAAATTTCAGGTAGTTTGGATTATAAGGCCGAATATGAGCGCTTAGAAGAAGAAGCTAAGAAAACTGCCGAAAATCAGCTATATAATTTGTCTCGAAGGAGAGGCATAAATTCAGAGATTAAACAATACCAAGAACAAAAGAAGGAAGCGGAGGCTTTTCAGGCTAAAGTTGATGAACGGGACCAAGCCATAGTCACCCATATATTGTGGGAGCTATATCATCATAAGCTAGAAATGGATGAATCAATCTCCAGCATAGAACAAAACCAGGAATCTCTTAGAGAATACCACGGAAATGCTGTGAAGCATGAGAAAAGTCTGGAAGAGGCTCGTCATGCACAAGCCAAAGTCACAAAAGACCTTGCTCGGGTTGAAAGGTTGATCAAGAAGAAAGAAAAGTCGATAGAAGAAAACGAAAATAATCTAGCACCGATTGACCAAAAGATCGAGATTACTGAAAGAGAAATTGAAAAGATGAGAAAAAAAATCACTAGTGTCTCCACTGAGGAAGAAAAATATAATAGCGAAATTCAAAAGTTAGAAAAAGATCTAGCCATGGTTGAAAAAATACAGAAAGATTCAGGTCGCAAGTGGCATGAGGCTCTACAAAAACAGGGAAAGCAGCTAAGTGAAACAGACTTTAAGGAATATAATTTTTTAAGGAGCCAAGTAGCTACAAAAACTGTAACAATTAAAGCAAAGTTGGATAATTATAGTCGACAAATGAAAACTGATCAAGTTACCGTGAATAGTTTAAAAGGAAAACTGTCGGCTTCACAGGTAGCTGTGGAGAGGTTAGAGAATGAGATAAGTGAGATCAATGGCCGAAAAGAATCTATCGAAACGATTGTAAGTCAAATCACTGGCCAAATTGATACGAAGAAAAAAGAATTAAATCAAATAATATCCGAGCGGATAAGAATCAGCCAACTACACACTGAGAAGGATGAAAAAATACAGGCCCTTCTCAAAGAAATAGCTGATGCAGATGCGGGTCAAAGAAAGAGTCAAAAGGAGCAAAGAACGAAAGAGACAGTTGCTGCCCTAAAACGCTTATATGCTGGTGTGCGAGGTCGGGTTGGTGATCTTTGTAAGCCCAAGCAGAAAAAGTATGATGAAGCAGTCATAACAGCGCTTGGTCGGGATTTTGATTCAGTTGTCGTTGACACAGAAAAAACTGGGGCTGAGTGTGTTCAATACCTGAAAGATCAACGAGCTGGCCCTATGACCTTTATTCCACTTGATAATATAAAGGTCAGAGCTCCTGATGCAAACCTTAAGGGTCTTCCAAAAGCACGTCTTACTATCGATACCATTGATTTCGATCCGTCTTTGGAGCGAGCTATGGCATATGCATGTGGCAATTCGATTGTTTGCGACGACCTTGCAGCAGCAAAGCATATCTGTTATGAAAGGCGTATTCATCTCAAGGCAGTTACGTTGCAGGGGTTCGTAATCCATAAAGCCGGTCTCATGACAGGTGGTAGGGGTCCCGAAAAAGGCGATAAGCGCAAGTTTGATGATCAAGACATCGAAAAACTCAAAGCTCAAGTCTCAAAATTCCAAAATGAAATTCTTGCATTACCCGATCCGTACCGACGGGGGGCTGGCGAGGAAGCACTACAAAGCGAATTATCTGGTCTTGACCAACGTCTTGTGTACGCAAAGAGCGAACTTTCTGCATTTTTGCAGAACCTATCCAGCAAAAATATGGAGTTAACACACGACAAAAAACAACTTCAAGAACTCCAACCATTGCTTAGCGACAAAGAACGTGTCCTTCAAAGTGTTTCGGAAACTGTAGCTAGCTTTCAGCGCCAGGTTGATCAGGCTCAAGATGAGGTGTTTGCCGAATTTTGCCGTAGACTTGGTTATCCCGATATTCGAACATACGAAGCTCAGCAAGGAAGTCTTGAGCAACAAAATGCCGAAGAACGAAGTAAATATGCAAAACATAAAGCAGGAATACTTAATCAAGTTGACTGGCTTAAAGGTCAACAGAGCGAGGCTATTAGACGCGCAACTGTTATGAAATCGAGGGTCAATAGTCTTGAAGCGCAAATATTAGAGTATCAAGCTGCTAAGGTGAAACTTGATGAGGCTATTGATACTGAAAAAGTCCATATTACGAAACTGGAAGACGAACGGCACCAATTGAAAGAAAAACTATGTCAAAAAAGTGATAAAGTAAGTCAGATTAAGGGCGAACTTTTTAAGCAAAAAAAAAAGTCCGAAGACATCAATAAGGAAATCTCTATCCTACAAATCAAGGCACAAAGAAAGAGTGCAGAACGGTATTCCTTACTTCGGCGATGTAAACTCGAACAGATAAATATTCCTCTAAAACCAAACTCCAAAAAATTAGACAGCCTTCCTGTAGAAGAAAACACTACTCCAGCTGATTCTGACGCTATGGATATCGATGAAGATGATGTTCTTCCCGAGGAAACAATCAAGGACTATGGGATTGTTGTTGATACTGATAATCTTGATGAAGAGCTAGCTTTGTCAAAAGATGACGCGATAGGAGCCAGGCTTCTGCAAGCAATTAGTGATCTCAATAATGAGTTAGAAAAACTTAATCCTAATATGCGTGCAACAGAAAGACTTGATAGCGTGGAATCAAGGCTCAAATCTACAGAAAAAGACTTTGAAGATGCGCGGAAGATTGCGAAAAAAGCTAAAGAAGATTTCGATAAAGTTAAAGAGAAACGATCTGATCTTTTCAACAAAGCCTTCTCGCACATTTCAGAACAAATTTCACATGTCTACAAAGATCTCACTCGCTCTCCAGCTTTTCCGTTGGGCGGTCAAGCGTACCTCGACGTCGAAGATAGTGACGCACCTTACTTTTCGGGCATCAAGTATCATGCCATGCCGCCCCTCAAACGATTTCGGGATATGGAACACTTATCTGGCGGCGAGAAAACCATGGCCGCACTCGCGCTCTTATTTGCAGTTCATTCCTTCCAGCCGAGCCCGTTCTTTGTATTAGATGAGGTTGATGCCGCTCTCGATAACGCCAACGTCGAGAAGATACAGAATTATCTTAGGGAACACGCTGGGCCTGGCATGCAATTTATCGTCATCTCCCTTAAAACGGGTCTCTTTCAGGGCAGCGAGAGCCTTGTGGGCGTATATCGCGACCAAGAGGCTAATTCTTCCAGGACCCTAACATTAGATGTAAGTTATGGCTCATTTTTCCAACCCCTCCCTAGTCTAGCTCTAAATTTTTCTATACTGCTGACACCACACGTGGCCCCCAGCTTCGAAAATATCGGTAATGTCAAACTCCACACTTGCAGACGCTTCTAGTATCTAAATTCTACTGCCTCGGCTCGGAATCACTATCTAATAAAGATGTTTATAACTTTCATGTATTAAAACTTGAATATTTCAAATCTGGTACCACGGGAGGTCCAACATGTAAATATTTGATTATTCTAAAACTTTGTCAATTATCACCTGCATGCACCTAGCCAAGAAGCAGCACAGGAAAACTGTTCATCTATATTTTTAATGGATCAGAGCCTACTGCGCTAGAATACCTTTAAAAGCTCATACCGGCATCTGCAATATCTACTCACAGGAGAATTACATGTAACCTAAAATCGGTATGTTTGGAATGGATCGGTCTATATCAAAGACTTTAGCTATAATTTTGCTAACTAGTAGACAAATTATGTTGACAACAGTTTCATGTTTAGTCTTACATCGGACATCAGTAGTAAAATTGCTTTCATGTGATATCAATCGATTTTGATGAGCAAAAAGTTCGTCATCTCAAGTAACGAGCACGCTTAACTTTGTATCCTAAATGCTGCTCCCAACTCTCACTCAATTACATTGATCAAAAGGCAATATGAGGTCCCATAATTAGTTACTCAGGTACCACTCCTAATATAGACAGGTGTTCGAAATGGGTGGCTACAAAAATATCAATAGAACTAGCTCGGAGGCTAATTGGATTCAATTTGGCCTATCTCATTCTCGGTTTCTTCAACTTCCGCAGTGATACTGCCTTCATCTTCCGTTCCCAGTTCTTCTAAAAGTTGAACTGTGGCAAGTGAACTAGCCTTGCTAATGATACTATCAATACTAGATCTTTGCTGAAGTCCTGCCCTGGTCGCTCGGCGAGCGCGCTCGATAGTTCGCTCAATTCTTAGACGATTTTCAATGAATTTCAACTTAGGATAAGCGCTTTGCTGCCCTGCGTGTAACATTCTTGCAAGATCCTTGGGATCCGGGTCACTTAGTATACGCCAGAAGTCGGAAATAACTGTGCGAGGCCAGATGGTGATTGTTCCAGAGAACTGTTGAAGCCAGATCTCACTCCAATCTTGACCAAGTGGGCGTGGAAGCAGCTCTAGCGCACGTATCACTTTTAGCCATTTATTTAGGTCTAGCTTCAAATATTGCTCCAAAGCACTACCAAGGAAACCTCCGCGCCAGCCACGACCTTTGCGATGCGTGACAGGTTGACCAACCGCGCCACGAGAGGAGAAGAAAAATAAATTGATGTGAGGATTAACTTGGCTGACAATGCTAAAGTTAACGTTAAAATGTAAGTTGAGAGCCTTCAGTGGAATGTCAGTTCGAAGACTTCCGTCTTTCCACTTATGGCCAAAGGAGTAAGGAATCAGTTTTCCTTCTTGGGTCTTCATCATAAGAACGACTGGATTTAGGATACCGGGGACTGCAGCTGATGCTAGAACAGCCGACCATATAACGCAATCAGGACTAGTAATGTAGTTGGCGAGAATTCTAAGCAGCTGTTAGATAAACCAATATTCTTTTAGGAGATGTTTTACGTTGGAGAATGAGGATCAGCTGGGACGCAAGAAACGTTCAGAATTCTTCCTGTTCTATCATACGCCTCACTAAATGTCATACTTCCCCTCGTGAACCAACTACAACGTTTGGCCCAATCCACTGAGTCAAATCGAGCTCCTGTCTTCCACCATCTTGGGAACCAAGTTCTGAAAGGTTCGGAGCATGCTGAGATCTTTTCCGCGAGAGCTGGTACGAGAAGTTTTTTGAGTTCATCATTTGTGTGGGTAGCAACCATAGCTGCCACGAGGGCGCCCCCTGAGGTACCGGTAATAACATCAGGCAATAAATCTGCGTCTAGTAAGGCTTTAACAACACCAAAATGGTAGTATGCGAACGAAGCACCCCCGGATAGACAGAGAGCTGTTCGTCCGTAATTTGTATATAATCGTTTAAATAGAGCCCGCTTGTGTTCTTTATTTAGGTAAGGAGTATTTTCTAAAAGAAAAAGTCCATTTTCAACTTTTTACTCATTAGCTTAAGTAGAAAGAGGGAACACATAGCTTACCCTCATCGATAAATTCTTGAACAAGGTGCTTGGTACCGAAGTATGTCTCCGAATACAATCGCGAGTTCTCAACACCTACGAAATTATTTTTTACGCAGGCGCATACAAGTGCCTTTAGGTCTTCGACAGTTCTCTTGATCTGATGTAACAATTCTTCATTTACAACTTTCTGGTCGCTTACTTGCTTGATTTTCCTTCGATAGCGTTTAATCTGTTCTAAGACACGCCTAACTGTCTTATAATCGTAATATGCATATACATCATCCACTTTCCAAAGCTCATTTCCTAGAAACTCGTCCAATTTATTTGCAGCTACCACCCAGTCAGCAAAGTTGGTTGTACTCTGAAGGTCCTTCCTTAAGTTCTTGCGTCGACCTCTCCAATTGATGTAGTGTTCGTAGAGCCATACGTGAAGTCTTGTCAATAAGTAACTTAAGGAAAGTGCAATCATCCAAGCCACAACAAAGACTAAAAAAGGCCACTTGAATAGAGTGTATGCATGGCCTTCTCTCGTCTCATCACTCGTGCGGTTTTTTTTCGCTTTCCGTCTTCCTGTGCCTTTCTTATTGCCACGAGCTGAACCTTTTGCCGGAGCAACTGGTGCCCAATCATTCTGCGCCGTGATGAATAAATTTTTCCGGTTCGTGATCAAACTGTCTCCATTTGAACGATAATCGCCTTTCTCGGTCCGACAATCATTAATCGCATGCTCGGCGTAACTGGGACCTACTTTCTCGCTTAACTCCTCACCTCCCGGTGATAAAACTATCTCAGGGGCTCCCAATGCAGCTGCAAATGCGTTAGAATGCTCATCAGAAAGAAATTCGCGGTTGTAGTCCGGCAATTGTTGAATGTCAAATCCCTCAGTCGTATAAAGGTCAAGTTCATCATTAGTGCACTTCAGGTCCGCCATTCAGATAATTAGAATGCTCAAAAGAGTCGATTTTGAATAGTAGAGCGTGCGACATATGGCAAAAATCTTATATTTTAACTGTAAGTAGTCTTGTCATAATATTTCCATGACAACATTTAACGTGTAGTCTGTCATCATGTTTCATACCAATTAGCAGCACTAGGCTGTACTTTACTCCGAGGGGCACGATTTGTAAGCGAAAAGGTAGGGTAAGCGCGTGACAGCTACAGCAGAAACACCAATAAATTCTGTCAGCTGCTACTTCTATGAGATATGAGTTGAGAGCCTAGCTGGATGCTACATGGAATAGCACTGAATGGACCTTTGAGTCCCATATTCGAGTAATCAATCAAAGCATGTGTCGATAGATTTATTGGTGGCAAAGGTATTCCGAGCTAAATTATGGAAAATTCTGCAGACTACGGTAAATTAGCTTTGCAGAACACGCCGTTTCTCCCATAGCAGCATTTGATAGCTAAAACACTAACAACTTCCATTCTCTAACTCCTTCCAGTATGACATAGCCTTCCATAGTATACCCTGTTTCTCCTTACCCCTAGCGAATATGTGTTGTGAAATTTGTCTGTACATATTCTACACATATTGTGCCATCCATCTAATACCTTCACCGTAGCCTAATAACCAATCAGAATTTTTTGCAGTAATAATCATTGAAGACCTACCCTGTCTCATAACGACTGAGCACATGAATATCTCGATAGGCCTGATTCCTTCGAGAGGAACTTTACCCTTACCAGTGGTTTGATAAAGTCCCAATTGGTGTCTCAGCTCATCTTCACTGATTGCATCTGGGTGATCGATCTTGTTGCCCAAAACCACAAATGGGACCTTACTTAGTTCTTCCATGCTCAGAAGAGCATCTAGCTCAGCCTTAGATTCAGACAAGCGCTCAATATCTTTAGCATCTACTAAGAAGACAATTCCAGAAACTTCGGGGAAATAATCTTTCCAGAGACGACGCGCTGTTAAAGTTAACCTTTGCTCTAGACCTATAGAATGCAACAATGACGGACCTTGTTGATGGCCTCCCAAATCAAATGTCATAAATTTGACATTCCCAATTGATAGTTCTTCGGAAGCTACAAGGGTGTTAGGCTAAGCAGAATTCTACAGTTTTCATTAAGGATAGAAGACTTACTTGGATGAAGAGTGGGCTGGAGAATCGCAACTCTATCATTCTGTATATCATAAAATGTCTTAGCATATTTTTCAGAATCTTAGGATAGATAATCAGTCCTTCTCCAGGGTAACACTGGTTCATTATTCGAATTATAAATTACCTTTAGCATGTGTAGAAGTGTAGTCTTTCCAGCATTATCAAGACCTAGAAACAATAACTTGGCGTGCTTATTCAGTAGACCAAGTGAGGCGAGGGTGTCCCAGACTAAATTTATTGTTATGAATATTCTCCTTCAGTGAAGTTAAAGCGCTAAAGAGCCTGTGGGAAAACTTACACCAATCTATGAGCCACATTCTGTTCAGATTACGAGATTCTTGTCCGGTATCTTATGAGATGGATGATGACACTTGTTGAACGCGACTGACATCGCAAAGGTCATAGCTCGAATTAAGGTAATGTTATTGGTCTATCTCATAACACGTTTCATTATGTCATCTTAAAATTTACATCAGTAATGGTATATAAAGCTCTATTGACATTCTTGTTTAGAGTTAAGGCAAAGAAACGACAATGAGATTTGTCCGCATACGATGAATAGTTAATTATCTTCTATGAGTATTCACCAGTTCATGAAATGGCAAGACCTTCAAAATATATCGAAATAAATTGGACTGAATATACCGATATGCCGACAAGAAGTTAAAAGCTAAGCAAAAGGTCTTATTAGTCTTTCACAGTCTTAGACAGCCGGTAAATACGAATTCTTCACCTTCTAGATGTGCCGGCATGATCGCTCAGTATGATCAGCATATCTGGGATAGCCAAGAACCGCAACCAAATTGAAGTCAGAAATAGACACTTACACATCTGTATCCAACCACTTGTCATCATCGCTCTTAATATTATAACATGAGTCTTGAACCTCTATCACACCACATATCACCTCGTCTCAACAACTGATGCAGGATTGTTCTAATTGCAAACGGGAGCATGCCAAATCATTGATTTCTGTGATGGGCGATCAACAAAACAATATAGTAAAGGAATGGTGGCCGATTACTGTCTATTTTCTACATACATCTCGGAACTGTCCACCGAGGGGATGCTACTTAAGGTGTCCCAACTCCCAATGCGCTAACCTCACTATCTATTCTACTACATCATATCCTTGATATTCCGAGTGGGCTCGTCATAGCGAATCTGGGTCGTATCGGCCCATGATTCCATATGAGACTTGCTGCAACAATATCTTGTTTCCATATTTGTTGCAACCCTGTATTTGTATGGCCAAGTTGGACATCTCTCTAGATAGCAAGGCTAATGACGTAATAATGATAAGTGTCCGTGCGACAGTCACTAGGAGATAGGCGCAGCCTGTAACAATTTCTCACTAAAATTACGATGCCGTGTACACCTGAAGGAAGGACAATAAGCTATCAGATACAAAGCTTTGGATAGGACTGATAGAAATTGGTTGCCCTAACGGCCCTCTACTAATTAATGGTTGACTGGCAGTTGGAACTTGGGACGAAAGAGGAAATAGTTCGCAATCTGGCACGATTTAACTTGCGTTTTTGCGGTAGTATCAACTTTGAAATTGATATGGGCGCCAAGGCCAAGATTGCGGTCAACTAGTTAGGAGTGGTTGGATGGTGTAGTGGTATACCATTCGGGCTGTCCTCCGGAGAAGATTCTGGGTAGCTTAAACACCTACCCCATTTGAGACAGGAGAAACCTGGTTCGAATCCATTAAACCCCACACACCACACTCTCGCGGTGATATTGTACTGGTTGAATGATGAAAGTATACTCGGATAACTATAGGCCTTTCACGCTTTTCCCTGTTGTGGGTATGCACGGAAGAGGTTATACGCCGTAAGGGTTAACCTCGAGTGGAATCTGCAAATGAAATTCGAGCGTGATTGTTCTAAACGTCAAAATGAGTCATCCTTATTAAGGTACATATCATTCGATAGAACCAGCGTGGGCCTCAGGCCGCCAAATCATGAAAATGAATAACTTTTTAGCCAAGACGACTTCTATCTTTGATGAGTCTACGGCACATAAGAAGACTAGCTAAGCTACTACATAGTGATCACGCTCTGTCAATACTTTTCTGACATTTCAGCTCGACCTTCGGGAAAGAGTTGGAAGGAGGCTAGAAAGATAAAGAGTGAATATCCAGAGCTATCCACAAGTCTGCAGCGCCCAGCAAGTCTGCCTATCTGAAAGCTTCAGAAGGGTCACTATGTCTTAGGATTTATTCCTAATGTCGGTATCAGAAGATCCTCGCACCCAGTGGATTTTGCGATTTTTCCCGGCTGCCATACACCCGCAAATGGCCATCGCTTCGTTGGCTAGAGAGGGGAGATAATGAAGGGTTAAGGGCTCCTCCTAGTGTATGATCGAATGAGGACTTGTGAGGGGTGGTACTGTTTGAGGGTAGCTGTATGGAAGGCACAGGAGGGAATATACTACTGGTATAAGTATCCTTGGCATGTTGGTAGGGAAGACCTGCATGTCTTATATTCATAGACTAAGAAACAAAATGGGAAAAGAACTTCAAATAAAACAACGAGCAACACGCGTTGCTCTTTTCGGTAATGTGTCAAAGCTAGAAAGCTGCATACGCGATTATAATCTGATGCAAGAAAAAAAGTAGAACTCCAGAGATTTTAAAAATTTGTTTTCAAGTCAGAAGTGTCACTGTTCAGCTCTGTTTATCCTTGGTATTATCTTCTCTGCCGATGATATTTCCTCTATCATACATGCCCGAGATAAACTTCATCACATTTGTGCACCACACTTTTTATCATTTGCTCATTCTTATTGCCCTTGCCATAGATCTAGAGACTAGATAAGGCCACAGATGCGTTCGATACGGGGACTCATTAAAAAGAAGATGTACCATCTAGTAATTGTAAACTTGACGCTTTTATCAGAATAAATCTTGTTTTGAATGAAGGACTAACGTGATTGGGAGCATTAAATCAATGTCTTGTATGCCAGCTTCTTAAGAATCGCAAAATTCGACTCAATTTAGCTTCGAGTGAAGAATTCCGCCCATATTCGTAGACTATGATACAGACAGAGGGGCGAGAATTCATTAACTGTCTATGGTATCACCTCCGGACTTTCAGCTCTCACTGCAAAGTCTGCAGAGCCGAGATTGAGTAACAAAGTCCTCACTTTGACGAGGATTCCCAATCGCTTTCGCCGTCTGTATTGTCTTCATCTCTCAACACAAACTCCTGTCACCACCATCACCAACCCTTGATCATGGAGGAGAGGCAATCCGATGAGCTTCCGGAGCGTACCCAGCACCCGATACGGAGATGGTGGATTGGATCAAGTTGGCCTCTAACGTTACAAAGAAGAGAGATATAGATGAATATACGTATCCCGTTTGGTCCCGGTGTCTAGGTCTCGCCTGGCTAGCGCTGTAGGTTTTTTGAGACTATCTCCCGCGTACGCAGTTTCCATTATTACCCTTTTATTTTTTATTTTTTTGGGTAGAAGGTTCCGTGGAAAAGGTGGCTGAATTCCATAGGTAAATACTGAGCCGAATGGCTATCCATCACGGGCAACACATTAGTGATCTTCCAAGTAATAAAACAAGATAGGAGCACTGTACAAGATGTGACCCAAGCTAGAGAAGAGCTCAATATGCTAGATATCCATAGACTCAAGATGTACAATAAACATACATCCCTCACTTACCTACCTGTCATGGACAAAATTTTAATTTTTGACCTCCTCTTTTCACATCATCTATAAGGGACTTGTTGTATGGAAACTTAATTTACACTTGAAATGTTTCCTCTGGATGTTTTAAGACTAATAAATTCGATATAGTTTTTATCCTCGAACTTCTCACAAATCTATCTTTTATTGAATTGCATTGAATTAGTCTCGTTTAACGTCCTATGCGGTATCTATATACAGAACCATGAAGACGGTAAGCCGCTTTGGTAAGGGAAAAAGCTTTCAACAAACAAAACCCGATGTCCTGCCACTTTGAACCGACCCGGCTTTATGCTGAGGACGTTCCTTTCAACCGCAATTATGTAAACTTTCCTCGAAATTCGTTAACTCCCCCTTCAATCAGACTATCGTTATGAAAAATTAAAAAGAGAAGGCACCTCCTCACTCGGCGTTGGTCTTCGAAGTGTTCGAAGAGTTGGCCCCGATGGTGGTGCTGTCGTGGCGGGGATTGTTGGTGCCACTGGGGCTTCGACTACCTTGCGTGGTCGTCCCGGCCCTCTTTTGAGTACTTCAGCCTTTTTACTGGTGACCAAAGTGAATCCTTGATCATCAGTCGTTTCGACTGTTCGCATTGGCGCCACCGTAGGTTTCTCGTTCCATATTTCCGCCGTCCTCGATAATAGCTCCATCCGAGCCTTCTCCACACTTCCCTTGTAGACCTGGTAGGTCCGACACGCTGCTTTCTGCCACGAACGGTGCTCCTTGCCGCAGTTCGCACAAGAAACCCTTTTCCTCGGGCAGTCCCGAGTTTGGTGAGCGCCAGCGCACTCACCGCACCTGGCTGCCTTTCCACACGACGCCTGCGTGTGTCCCCACTGGCTGCAGTTGTAACACTGCTTTGGCTGTGACCGTGGTGACCACACCTGCGCGGTGTAGAGCATGGCGTTCATCACAAGGCCGTTTCGAACTACTTCCGTCTGCATTGCCTCCGATGGGAGGCTTACCACTATTGATCCACGAGTGCGGCCTTTTTTCTTTGACCGCTGGTGTTCCTTTCCGTCGTGTAACCACCTTATACGACTTATCACTAAGCCTGGAATCCTTGCCTTTGTTGCCGTCTCTATCTCCCTGATGATAGCAAAATTATTGGCATCTCTGCCCCCTTCAATTCGTGTCCGCAATGGGACACCGTCTACCTCGACTGGAAAATCTTGCCGTAGAATTTTGAAGTCCGTTGGTTGTCGCATATTTAGCGCCACGTCTCTCTGGGACGCCGACTGGACGAACACCTCAGTGTCGTTGCTTCGCATTTGGCGAATCGCGTATGCACCTTTAATGTGTTGTTGTGCCTTTGACAGCAGCTCTTGTGGCTGCAAGTTTTGTGCGCCGTCAATTCTTATCCTAACCGCTGTTTTCGTCATTTGCGGAGCCACGACCGACGCGTAGCTCCTTTGTGTCGGCGCGCCCGAAACCACTGCTGGTGCAGCTTTTCGAGCAGGATCCGCGAGGCTCTTTTTGACAACCTCCTCGAGCGCCATCATCCTCTCCTCGATAGGAGACTTCTTCTGGGACATTTCCGTCCAGGCCCTTTTGTGCGCGTTGAAGGCCTTGACGGCCTCGTTCACGTCCTCCATTGAGGGTAGGTCCT